GGGGGGGGAGGGGGAGGGGGGAAGGGGCTGGGACAGGTACATGGGTTACCGAGGGGGACGTGCGGATGGCAGTGACGTGAGGTGTTGGGTCCCACGGGGTATTGACGTGGGTCAGTCAGGTCGGGTCGAATGAGGCACTCACCACCCACTCACTCAGCCACTCACTCGCCGTGGGGGTCCCCGCCGGGGTGCAGCTGCAGCTGCAGCCGCCGAGCGAGGGATCGCTACCGTGTGGGGCGAGTCGGAGGGGGTCTTGTCAGCAGCTTTGGGCTCAGTAACGTGGAAAGCCGTACCCGGGGGATTGTGGTGGTGGTGGTGGTGGTGGTGGCTCTGTGGTGGTGGTGGCGGGGGTGGCTGTGTTGAAATGTGTGTCAACATCACGGACCGACCTGACCCGACCCGACCCGACCTGGAAATCGTTCACCCAGGGGCGTCTGTATGTTTGTCTGTCGCGTGCATGCGCATGGTGCAGGATTTCCCCACGACCGCCTTGACGTTCGAGGCTTGGATCAGCACCAGCGATTACTGCCATGCCGGTGAGGGCTGGGCTGGGCTGGGCTGGGCTGGGCTGGGCTGGGGGGGAGAGGGGGGGCTTAGGGGAGGGGTGTGGCTGGGGGTGGGGTAGGGGTATACCCGAGCTGTTGCTGGCAATCTCTTTGTTGGCCACGTACGTACGTACGGACGGACAGTGTACGGACGGATTATGATTACCCTTTATTCTTTTCCTCCTTTTCAAGAGACTGCCACCACCTCGCTGTCACTGCATTCCGTAGCTTTCACGAAGATTGACCCTTCATGAAGAAGTAACATAAGAATCGTACTCAACCCCAGGTACGGTCATGTCGTACGCGAAGGATAGCAAAGCACTAGACAAGGCGCAGCGGATCGCGGACTTCAACCATTTTGTCATCTTCGACACTCGGGTACGATAGTACGGCAGGATCTTGAATTAGCCGTAGGAAGGTTCACGTCTGCTATGTTGTTGTATTTGCCGACGTCGTATGTCTGTGTAAGGACTTGCTGGATGGGAGGTAGGCCGAGTCAGGCGTGCGGTCGTACGACATCGCCGTCTGGGGGAGGTGGGGGAGGTGCGGTCGCGTTTGGTGTATTTCGCATCGCTCGCATCACCCTGCTTGCGGGGCGGGGCGGGGCGGGGCGGGGCGGATCGGGGCGTGGCGGGGCGGGACGGGGCGGGCC